TACACTCCACGCTGCAGAACCTAGCCCACATGTCCCATACTTCAAATCCGACGAGCACGCCGCAGCCGACGCTTGTGCACTGATGCTCGTCCCGGGGATGAGCGGAGCCAAGAATGGGCTCTACATGCCATGGCACCATGCCCTGCAACAGCCAGTGCACGTCTTGGAGGCACCGCGTACAGGTCTAGTTCTTCCACGGCGGTCACGGTGGCCCGCTTCGCTCGTCAAGACTTCGAGCTTCCTCAATAGGCGCCAGGCAATGTCATCATTGCTGGTGCCAGTATTGGACCTATAGAGCACGAGGGCGTAGACATACATACCAAGTTCATGGCCGGCCTTGGTAGAGTGCTGAAGCCATTCAATCGGCGGCGTCAATGACCTATGGGCTTCCACGAAAACAGGACGCAAGCCGACAAGGAAGCAGGCCTCCGAGTTGCCCACGCTGGCCAGCCTGGTGGTGAGCAGGGCGTGATAGTGGTTGTCGTAGTAGTAGTGGCGCTCCCAGAAACCTTGACGCTGCAGCACCCGGCATAGTGGTATGCGTCGGCTGACTTCGACGGTGTCGCACACCCTGCGCATGAACGAGCAGGTTGCCCGCAGGCTGGCAAGGTCATCCATGGGGGCATATGACTGTTCAGCGACGCGGCCAGCGATGTCCGCGGCCAACTCCATCGGGTGTCGATCCATCACGATGTAGCCGAGGAAGAAGCAGAGTCGAAGCGCGAGCGCGACGAACGACGACGGATGCGGCATCGGAGCGGAGTACAAAGGCACGACTACGATGAGGCGGAGAGTGCCGGGGAAATAGGGCCAGCGGTTTATGTAGGTGGAGACTCCGTGTTCTTGAAGGATCGCTACCATGTAATGTAAACATGTCTCGGGGAAGTGATTCGTCCAATGCGACGTTCTTTCTCGAGGAACCAAACGGCGTCTTGCTCGAGCTCTAGGCGTCCGTGTAAACATGTCTCGGGAAAGTGAATCATAGCAATGAAATACGCAGCAGCCTTTGTGATGTTCGCCTCGCATAGGAGGGCCGTGCTCCAATGCGACGGAAACAAAGCCCTGATCACGGACGGATCATAAGCCAACGTGGCGGTGTTAGTGTACACCAACACAGGCGGGTCGTGCTCCAGCGCCTCCAGCGCAACGGAAACAATGACCTAATCATGAACGGATGATAAGCCAACACGGTGGTGTTAGTGCATACCCACACAAGCGAGTCATGCTCCAATGCGACGGAAGTAAGGACCTTATCACGGCCGAATGATAAGTCAATGTGGCGGTGTTGTGTACTTCCCAGTCGGTCCGTGATAGCGATAGTGATGGCTACGATTATCACTGCCGACAGAGCACTGCCGATGCCAAAATTGAACTGCTACTTGGGTTACACGGTGCGAGTGTAGCAGTGGTGATCCGACAACGGGTGATCGCGATCCCCGCGGGACGAACGGCTGTGCATGTGGCGACAGCGGCCTTGTTGCCGTAAGCTGGGCCGAGATGTTCCCCTAGGCTCCATGGGCCACCAGCGCGGTCTCTTCATTCGTTGGTCTTGCGCGTCGTGGTCCATGGCCACCCACTCTGCCGCCCTGCTTGGTGATGTCCGCAAGCCCGCAGATTGCGGCGTGGCCTGCGGAAGTGGACGCGTGGCTTCAGCGGTGATGGACAGCGGGTCGATCCATGTTAGCGGGGATGACCGGTCCTGATGAACTTGGAATTCGAATTTGAGTTGGTCTGCCTCGGGTGCTTCTTTCACCACTGGAAAGGGCTTGGCGTCGTCAGTAACCAGCGTCATCGCCGGCGTAGAGGATTGGGATCCTTTTGCTTTGCGACCAAAGGACCAGCCTCCAGCTGTCCCGCGCACCGGGCATGGGAATCTTCCAACGATCAGGGACTGGGCGGACCAGAATGTGGGCCCCCAGCCTGGTCCCAGTCGTGGCTCGTCGTTGGCAGCGCCGCCGGATGCACTTGCGCCACCGCCGCCACCATCTCCGAAGCGGCGGGGTCGCCGCGTCGGGCGTCCGCGATCACCACCGTCAAAGCTACCGTGGTCGTCGCTGTGATCAGTGTCCCCGACCGGCTCGTCATCAGAGGTTGACGGAGGTGTACGCCAATCATGGCCCTCTATGATAGGATACGGACCAGGTATCGGAGGGCCTGGAGCTCGGACTGGATGACTTCATGGCGTCGTAGGTACAACGGAGGCTCGACGACGAACGGCGCTTCTGGCTCCGGCACCGTGACGATCATCTCTTGTGGAATGAGGTCTGGGTGGACGCACCAAGCGGCGACGAAGTACTCCGACATGTTCTCCTGGCTTGCAGTCGCTTGGGCATGCTCCAGTCCCGCGCAGGCAGGACCGAGGATTCGCTGCGCCGCGGCGACATTCCACAGGTGCGACGGGATCCCCCGCATGCCGAGCAACACGCGAAAGCGAAAGGACCCGGCGGAAGCCCATGCTTGACGCCGCCATGGCCGCCACAGAAGGACAAACCGCGTGCCCTGCGGGTGGGGGGGCGTGGAGCACGCCATCGCGAGCTTGGGTAGACCGGAACCGCACCAGGAAGTCTTCTGGGGGATAGGTGCTGACGGAGAACTCATCTGGGGCTAGGTGGTAGAACCCCTCCAGCAGAGCTTGGACATCAGCGGCGGACACCACGGGGCGGTTGCGACCAACGATCGCGACGACCGCTAGGGAGAGTTCCGCCTCTGCCGAGTTGACCTCCTGGCTGCGCGGGATGATGACGATCCCCGTGCGGGGACGCATGCTAGGTCGCCTGGCGGCGGGCTTGGGCGCGGTGGCGGCAATGGTGCGTTGGGTGGCACGGGTGTCTCTGGTGGCGACGGACCACAACCCGGAGGCACCGACGTCTCCCTCCCAGTGGACACGGAGTGCGCAAAGTCGGTGTCCTCCGGGACCTCTGCCACAGGCGGGCGAGACCTTGGCCGCTGAAGGCGTGACCTTTTGCGGCCCTAAACCTCGACGTTGTCCGAGCATGGAGAGCGCGCACGCTTGCACATGCGGGCGCGGTGGCTGGTGCCACGGCAGCGGAGGCAGCGCGACGGGGAATCGACACTGCGCGGCGACATGGTCCGAGGCGAGGCAGTTGAAGCACAGGCCGATGAGCTCCGGTGGCACCGGACGCGCGGCTGGCTTGGGGCGCATTGGGCGGCGGCGCTAGCGACGTCGACTCTCAACGACGTGGAAGCCGTCCTCGTCGGCCTCGAAGGTGGCGCGGGGAGGGTGGACCACGACGGAGCGCCGGCGTGCATGCTGTTGGGGTTGCGCGACCGGAGACTGGGGCGACGGCCCGGTGCCCGCACGCCGGGCGTCGGCCATGAAGCCGGACGCGCGCGCCTGGCGTCGGCGGCGTCGAGGACGTGGCCAAGCAGGCTCCTTTCCCTTGCCGGCCGGCGGGGGCGACAGCGGCCCTGACACGCTCCGCCCTGGAGGAGGGGGCGTTGGCTGAGGCCGCAAGAGGGGGCAGCCGCGGTTCCTCCCGTTCATCAGACGAGGAAGGGGCTCGCCATCTCCGCGACCGGGGGGGGGAGGTCCGGGACGCCGGCGTCGTGGGGACGCCGGCGCTGGTTTGGTGGACGTCGGGGCCGGAGTGGCCACCGGCGGACGGCGGTGGGGGCGCTCAGGGAGAGGCGTCACATTGGCACTTATGTGCGTTCAATTTCCTTGAGAGCGGACATGGTTTTCCGAATATCCAAATCTACAATTGCAATGGATTTTGTGTTTTCATGGATATACATCCAATTTTTTGTGCTGTGTATTAACTAACAATATATAATCTCCGCCACAGGTTAGTGACCGTGTTTTTCTTTGATGAGGCTGAAGATTGAAGATTAGAGTGGTGCCTTTTATTTACTTCATTCACGGTAGACTACTGATGCAACTCTTTTAATGTATAATTTTCATGTAAGCATATTTAAATCAATTAGTAATCATGGTACAAATATATGCCCCATGGTACGTACAACATTTAATTCAAGTTTATATAGTTTTTTTTGTCTTTAGTTACACCCCTGGCAAAAAAAACTAAATCTGTTCTCTGCTTATATCGCATATATACTTATGTATTTATATACAAACGAGATTCCTTCTACATCCTATTTCTCCTAACTCAATTCCAATTACTTTTACATTCCCAAGCAGCAACGCTGGGGAAATCACCTAGTTTAATTTGCACAAACAGCTAAATATACTGAGTGTACGTAAATCTAAACAGTGGTTTAGTGAACCACAATCGTCATAGTCGTGTCTTAAACAGAGCACTATCATAATTCATGGTGGATGCAAAATTGGTCGGAAAAGAATACCGGGTGCAGAAAGGATCTACGCTTGTAGTTCGTCGAAGTCGAGGAGAAAAATTATTCGAGAGGTGTACTAGCACATATGAACACAAAAGAGAGTTGCACAGAGGGTTTATGTATGATCCTGATAAAATAAAAATCGTTGACCTCATCTGGACGGAAGATTGCAATGCACCAGCACACAACACTATCATGGCAACATCACCAATTATCAATATAAGAATGTGCCTCAATTCAACGGTTATTCTATAATGGATGTTTGATATGCATATGGTGCCTCTAATGCCATGTATAGAGAATCTACGGCTCTGCATATTCGTCTGAAAATGAAAAATAAGACTACCCTCTCACCAACAACCGGAAGCTGAAAAGAGGAATAAACAGACCTATGTTTCCAGCAGATGCTGAACCTATACAAGGAAATTGATTCTAGGTCCATTTTCTCCGCTCTATATGTAACTTTGCACCATGTGGCAGCTTGCTCTTATCCTCTCCAGATATACAACTTTGCTCAAGCAGATAACCACAACAAAGGGTCAATGTCTTCAGTGTGCTGAGATGTTGGATGCATGCAGATGCAGGCAAAGTCGGCCAAATGTAGGTATCTAATTTGAATTCCTCAAGGGAAGTGATCTCCGGTAACCACTCTGGCAGTCCTTCGATATTCTCACAGTTCAAAATCTCTAGCTTCTGGAGGATCTCCATCCTCGGATGCTCTCAGGCAAAGGTATCTTGTCAGCACAGTGGTCGATAGTCAATTCTACAATACTATCGAAGTGCTCAAGACTCTTCCACGATGCAGAAGACAGCCGTCTGCTGTGCCTAATCTCCATTTTGGATGGTTGTGGTAACGGGGTGGATGGTCTCATGATTCGCTGAAAAGATGGACATAGGTCTTCGCGGGGACTGCCTGGGCCTGATAAGACATACATGGCGCTCCTTGGGATTGATGGTTCAAACCTCAATCGAGAACAACAGTGTACCTCCAAATCTTGAAGGCTTGGGAACAAATTGTCGTCGTGACCCTGCTTCTCCATATATATTTCGAACTCCTTATCAGTTACTTCTGATAAGATAATTCTTCTGAGCTTCCTAAGTGGTTCAGTGCACCAGATGCGAACTTTTGGCCCTAGGCTCTGTATCCATGAAATGTGCAGCTCTTCAAGACTCTGTAACTGATCCAGATGCACATGCTCAATATGCACATTGGAGAGCTCCAGTTTCACAAGGTTTGTGAGTGAAGACATCCAGCCGGGGAAATCAGCACCAGAATAGTTTTTTATGCCAAGTATTTCCAGGCCACCATTAGGCTGGAGCTTTTCTAAAACATGCTTATTAGGTAAGCCTCCTTTATAGTCAGGACTCCAGTCCAAACTCAGTGAACGCAGATTCTTTTTCCCTATCAAATCCAAATTCTCTGCTTCCTCTGCTCTGCGGACAAGATGAAGATCCTTGATTTGTAGTTCAACAATATGAGGGCCACTTCTGCAGAAGGAAAGAACAGGTCTCTGCATTCACCAGAAACGTGAGGAAACAGTAGTAAGGCATGTTGCAGTGGTCAAGCATGTAAGGACAAAGCAGCCTATGACGAAATTAATTTAGATAACAAAAGGGTAAAATGCTTGGTTCGGGGTACCATCCAGTGCCTAAACTTATAAAATGCGCATTTAGAACCCGAAAGTTATTTAATCGTGTTATGTGAGGTCCAAATCACCAGCATGCGTGTGGGTGCCATGTCATCACACAATAAGTGTGCCATGCGTGCAGATTAACTTAAGTTATGGTGATCTAGATATCATGTGACATGATTAGTAAGTTTAGAAATATAGATGTAGGCAGACCCAGTGCCGGAGGCTCCCACACGAGTGGGGTCTGGGGAAGGGAAAAACCGAGGCAAGCCTTCCCCCCGCAAAATCTGCGGAGAGGCTGCTTCGAACCCATGACCTGGTGACTCAGTGAGACAGCTCTCACCACTGCACCAGGCCTGCCCTTCTTTAGAAATATAGATGTGCATTTTATAAATTTGGGGACCTAAATGGCACCTGAACCAAGCTCGAGGATTGGGTGTGCATTTTACTCTATAACAAAATTCAAAGCTATATCTACTGAATTACTGATAAGTGATAATGTCAACGCTTACATACAAAAATTGTTTATCACATCAATAAGCTATCACGTGCATATAAATAATGCAATGATCAAATACAAAACAGGAAAAAAAACTATAAATATTACAATGCTGAGGGAGAAAATAAGGAGGGGTTCAGGTTAGTAATTTAGGACCGGGAGTAATTTACCTCAGGTACATAGCATAGGCGTTTGATGTGTTTAATATTGTCATAGTCCTCTCCCAGCGTGCAACCCTCAAGGATTCTTAAATTGCATTCCCTGAGAACTAACTTGTCCAAAGCAGTCAGGTATCGGATCGATTGGGGCAAAACCTCCAGTTTGGCAGCGTGCACTGTCAGCTTCTGTAGTGACGTGAGTTCTCCAAGCCAATCCGGTAGAGCACAAAAATCCCAACATTCTACTATCTCTAGTGTTTTGAGGGAGCGGTAGCTTCAGATGCTTTCTGGCAAGGTGATAAGGTCATTGCAGGAATGAACACTCAGTTGCTCGAGATTAACACAGTACCGAAGAAGTTTGGAAATATCTGAAGAAATGCCACAGTTCCGTATTTTCATGTTCAGTAATGCCAAATTCGAACTACCAATGTATCTCTCTCAGATGATAGGACATCGCTGCTTCTTTCTATGGTACAGCTCCGGCTTCCTGGGAAAGCTGGAACAAACCTCAGCCTGGGGCAGTTTCTAATATTAAGTACTTGGAGATTAGGAAATACTTCATCTCCATGGCTTTCATGAAACTTCAGCTCATCATCACGAGTTGATAGTGTTGTGGTCGTCCACTCCTCCAGGTTGTCCATACTTGCAAGGGTAAGTATTCTCAGTTTCATAAATGCCCTGTCAGCCCCATATATATCACCGCCCACTTTTCTGAGGCTAGGCATATTTGAGATGCGCAGAAATTCTAAGTTTGCTAGTTGGCCTAATAATGGGATATGTTCAGCATAACATGTCAGAAAGCTCAACTTTCACAAGATTTGGAAGGAAATAACTTATATTCGTCACCCAAGAACAGAATGTATCACCCCTATAGCCTCGTATTTTGAGTTGTTCTAGGTTCCCATGAGGCTGGAGCTTTTCTAGAACTGCATTGTCATTAACTGTGCTTGAATCCTGCACAATACTGCTGTTGTCCCATTCCAAACTCAGTGACTGCAGTTGTCGATATTGGGCCAAATTGCCATGTTCGCTTACTTCCTCTGCTCTCTCCACTCCCTCAAGATTTTTGATAGCTAGCTCCTTAATTTTGTAGTCATGGTATTGATATAGAAGAGAGAATTTATTGGAGCAACTGGTGGCATAGTGTAGTGGGTGCCCTTCCTCTTCTCCTTCCATGTTTTCCACCTCTCCCTCTTCTACTTCTTCCTCCTCCATCCCTCGACCCCGATTCGTTGTTACCCTAAAAACAGCCTCCTGCGTTGCACGAAATGCGAGATTAGGAACTAAACAAACAAGTAGCCATATTTTGAATGAACGCTGTATGTATAGACCGTGTCACTCCGGCCCATCCGACCAGTCACAGCAACACAGCGTCCCACAAGCATAGCACAATCATTACATTCCGTCATACTAAAGTGGGATTTATATGAATCAATTTAGTAACAAACATACTACATTTTTTTAAAAGTCACAGTAACATAAAGTTTTGATCAATGGTACATATGATAAAAATGTTAAAGTTATCGCATATAATTTAATTTGAAACTAAAAATACTGCTAATTTGCTTTTGGAAGTATATTTTGCAATGTATAAGTTCATTGATCATCATGTAGTGCATCTGTATTTTAGGAACGTGACACTTCCTAGCATCTGGTTTGCTACAAAATGCATCCTTCAACTTTTACAGTACAATAAGCCTCCTGTGTTAATGGTGGACATAAAATTTGATACTTGTCAGACTACGAGCGAACTGGTCCAGCCACCCAGCTCACTTTACCCACGAGCTGGTACCTTAGGCTCAGGCTCACCGGAGCCCACAACATAATAAGACTTTGGGACTAACTCAAGCTAAAAGACAAGTCGAATAGGTGAGGGTTGCCCGTCTGATATGCTGAGCTCCACCGCTACGAATTTTTGATGTGTGGCTAAATCAAATGATCTCCCCCCGTCATGCATTGGGTCCAACTCTTCACATCACACAACCCTGTGTAATCTCCGGAAGATGTTCTCTAGGCCCAGAGTCCAGCACACATGATCTGTGTGAGCCTCCAAGATGTTAACAAGCTCCCCCTATCACTATTTGACCCTGAGATTTTTTAGATTTTCTGATCATGGGTTTTGATACCATTTGAAAGGAAAATATGCCTCTAACGGGAAAGCATGAATTCACACACAAGAAATACACATGAGCACGAGTGGTTTTGGTGGCTGGAATGACTTAGCCTTTTTTGTTTTCTGTTCTACTTCTATAGCCAAATGTGAGTTACAAATCAGGTTGTGATAGCCTCCTAATTAATGTAGAATATTACCCAACTAATCAACATATTACTCCATGCTGAAAATTAGCTAAACTAAATGCTATGAACCTAGACACAGGATTATTTCCAGCAATCTCCTCCTACTTCCTTGTGTTGACTTGGAGTTGTAGCAGACCATTCCAATCCTAGCATGAAGCTCAAGGAATTTGACTCTTCCATAAGTGCCTTCGTTTGATTGTTAGCGAGCTGGTCCTTAGTGCCGACAAAATTAGCACTAATCCTCCCATCATCCAAGCACTCCCTGATGAAGTGGTAGCGCACATCATTGTGTTTTCTACGCCATGGAAGATGGGATTCTTCAACAGAGCTAACACTAACTTGTTATTAACCTTCAGCTCGACAGTGCTGGTGTCTCTTCCTTGAAGTCGCCAAGCAGCTGTGTCAACCATACCGCCCGTGTGGCTACTGTTGTGGCAGCAACATATTCCGCCTACAGGACGAGAGTGCCACAACCTTCTGCTTGAGACCATGCCACTCACCAAGCTGTAGCCAATCAAGAACATGTCCCCAGATATTTTTTTTTCTCGAACAACGCACGAGAGCTGCGTGTCATTTCATTAAGAGAGAAAAGATAGTACAAAAGTCCGTTAAGGACTAAAACCCCAGCCAAGAACACACCCCACACTTCTACAAAAAGAGGCCTATATCGCCGCCATACAGACACAAACACGACCTCGACCAAATACCCCCGACCTATGCTGTTGGGGCCTCATGACCTCACCAGGAGTTCCTGGAGCTTAAATGCTCCAGCCATCCCCAAATGTTGATCTCATCAGACACTGTCTGGAGCAGCAAGGAGATGTTGGGTCTAGCATTCTCAAAAACACAAGAATTTCTGTGCTTCCATACTTCCCAAGAAACCAAAATAATTAGTGAGTTAAGTCCTTTCCTTATCCCCTTCGGGACTGCGCTCAGAGCCCTCTTCCACCATAAACATGTCCCCAGATATACTCTTCTAGGTATCCACATCGCCAGTGAGGTCGCCAAAGTTGTACCCAAGAGTCCCCAGATGTACTCTTCTAGGTATCCACATCGCCAGTGAGGTCACCAAAGTTGTACCCAAGAGTAGCGCCTCCTTTATCCTCCCGTAATGGCAGCCGAGACATAGAGTCCCGACCACATAGCACAGGATCCGCTTCACTGCCACCATGTGTTCCTCCATAGGCCACTCCATGAAGAGACTCGCATACCCCACAATTAAAGCGAGGTCTAGTCGTGTGTGGACGAGGCATCGAAGGCTTCCAATAATCCTCCGGTACAGAGTGATGTCCACCTTCGCTATCGTGCTGTCACAGTTTAGCTTGAGCCGCTCCTCCATTGGGGTGTGCGCACAATTACAGTCCTTCATCCCTGCCATCTCTAGGATGCACTTGGCATAGTGCACTTGGCACAGAGTGATGCCACTACCATCACTGCTCTGCTGCACCTCAATGGCAAGGTAGAATGAGAGCAGTCCCAAATTGCTCATCCTGAACCTTGGCTTCATCTCCACCTTGAAGCGGCTGATCTCTGCCTCGGTCAATCCAGTGATGATCAAATCATCCACATAGACCACAAGGAGTAGTAGTGAGTCGCCATGGCACGCCCGGTACATCACCGGGCTTGTGCAGGCTCTACTCGAACCCGAGAGCACGCAATGTAAAGTCTAACTTCTCTTTCCATGCTTGCAGTGCTTGACACAGCCCATTGAGCGCCTTTCGCTCGCGTAATACCTTGTGCTCAGTGCCGGCGACGATGAAGCCCGATGACTGCATGATGTAGTCTTACTTGCCCAAATCACCGTTGAGGAAGGCCAACTTCACATCCATGTGATGCACCGACCAACTTTCTTGTGCAGCCATGGCTAACAATAGCTGCATAGACTCAAGGCGAGCCATGGGTGCAAACACCTCGTCGAAGTCAATGCCTAGCTACTGCATCGCACCCTTAAGCGAATCGAGGCGAGCCTTTTGATCATTGCTCTAGCCTCATTCTTATTGAGCTTGAAGAATGAAGACCCACTTCAACCCAATGGAACGACGCCCATGAGGGAGCTCTACCAGCGACCATGTACCATTTTTTCGATTTAAAGAAGAATTATATTAGAATATAGCTGAGTACATCATCACGTTATAAGTACTCTAGAATACACTACATATATCCAGAAACGGATCATCTAAATTGTACGCACGCATTCTATAGCTCCAAATTTCAACTCCAAACATGTATGACGATTTGTATGGATGACCGTGCAGGCAAACACTCGGCAAAAGGCCTGAGAACAGATGCCCAACAAACGACGTGCCAACGCTCCTGCAGCGCGGAGTGGAGAAACTTCTTTCTTGTGTCTTCCTTCTTCTTTCTGCCACAGAAGAATAAGGACGACCGATCTAAAACTTATCCTCCATAGTCCTTCATTGTGGTGAGATCTAACCACAACAAAACGAAGAGACAGGAGAAAATAATTCCATGGCGGTGAAATCATCTCCGCTTGAAAGCCCTAGTTTGATTTTGGCTAATTGATGAAACCTATTGGACTAACTCATTAGGCAATAGAATATGCCGTGACCCTCTTATATGTCTTGCGGCATTTGTAGCCATAATTAGTAGATGTAAATCAAGGATTAGTTACTATATTTAGTAGATGTAAATCAAGGGAATTACCCTTGCCTTGTAAAAGCAAGGCCACCGCCCTATATAATGAAGGCCCCTCCTATTGAGGTGTGGCCAATGCCTCCCAATTCTATCTTTTCTACATGGTATCGTAATCCGGGTCTCGATCTCGATCTCCCGGCCCTCTCCACCTTCTCGCCTGCCTCTGCGCCCCCACCCCCTGCCATGGACACCACTGCACCATCTCCTCTACCACCAGTGCCTGTGCCCCAGACTACGCCTGCCGTCTGCAGAAGTCCTTGTATGGATCGGAAGCAGGCTCAATGGCTCTGTACCCGGTCACCGCCACCTTCATCCAGTAGCTCGGCCCCACCTCCGCCTCGACCACGTCCCTTTTCATTCTACGAGAGGGACGAGCCTCTCCTACCTACTCATCAGACGTCGACGACATCGCTCTCACCGCCTCGCCCTTGGCTCTTGCTTCACGCATTATGGCTCGAAGCTGAGCTCCGAAGTTCGCCATGACGGATCTTGGCGCCCACCACTTCCTCAAAGATCAATCGTCACACGCCCTCGGATGGCCTCTTCCTCTCCCAAATGACAAGATCTGCCGAGCTTCTTCAAATAGCGGGCATGGTGAGTGTCATCCGACCACGACACTGCTGACACTCACGCCAAGCTATCCGCGGCCGACGGGGATCTATCGCCGAGAAGGACGATCCGAGTACGGGAGCTTGGCGGGGCTCTCCAAAGACTGCGACCCCGACTCGTCCCCGATCCGGCATATGCTTGTTCAACAGTGTGCCTCTTCATGCACGCCCATGTGAGCCTCACTGTCAGCGCTCATCAAGCGCATCCCACGCTTTAATACTGGGGACTCTCTCTCGGGTCTTCACATTGGCACCGGTTCGCCGACAAGCCGATCGCCTACTCGACGCCGACCAAGCAGGTATCCGGACTCTCGACGATCCACCTCCGGCTTCAAGGCGTCTATCTCGGTGACAACTGTTTCTTGGTCCTCCAAGCGCCAGACCACGGTGTCCGCGCTCAGGCCGAAGCAGAAGTATCGGGCCGTGGCTCACGCCATTGGCTGAGTGCTTTCTTGGCTTCGACAGCTACTCCAGAGCTCCACTTCAATTGCCCTCCGCCACCGTTGTCTTCTGCGACAACGTCGCCGCCGCTTACATGATACCAACCCCGTCCACCACAAGCGAACGAAGCACATTGAGATCGACATTCACTTCGTCCGCAAAAAGGTGGCCTCGGTGAGATTCGGGTTCTCCATGTGCCTCCTCTCACCAATT